ATAGATAGATAGATAGATAGATAGATAGATAGATAGATAGATAGATAGATAGATAGATAGATAGATAGATAGATAGATAGATAGATAGATAGATCGATCGATCGATCTGTGGAATGTAGTTGGCTTGGGCATTTTTTTAGGGCATGCACTTGCAGCCTTTCAGCTTCTGTCACATTAAGGAAATTCGGGTCATTAAACAGTCAGGTTTTAGTTCACCGTACCCCAGGACAGTCACACACGTGGTTGTGGAAAACTGAACTCTAGATAATGTGTTTCATTAAGCCATTACAGGTAACCAGAATGAAAGAGAAGCACTCTCCTTAAGTGGAAAATATTGCACCATAAAACATCAAATAAAAATCTCTTCTCATGCTGCTGTCCTTTGTCTTTGCTTGTCTGTACATAAAACACAGAGGGGCTGAGTGCCAGATCAGTGTGTGCTTACAATAAAACAGCAATTTGGTGGAATCAGGGGAAAAGCTAACAACACATTTGGTTTCTAGAGGGGAATATCAGTGAGCTAACACAGGCTGCCATAAAGTCTTGTGACCTATACCTGGATTTACAAGAAGGTTTTGTATGCATAAAACTGTTGCTTAATGCTTAACATTAGTTCAAACCTGATGTTTCGGTATACTTTATAAAGAATACTGCAAACATTGTTTCTCACTGTTTAAAATCAAACCAAACATATTAGTATTTTCTAAATGCAAAAATTGTGAGAATTTTATATAACTCATTATAAGATTCTTTACAATCCGCAGTTTACATACATTTTGAATTCTCAATTTTTCTCCATACATGAAAATGAAAAAAACAATATATACCTAGCACATTGCAGTTTTATCTTAATTAGCATACTTCCAGTCTTTTAACAGATTTTTAGTCAGATCTGACGAGTTATTTTTAAATGTTAATAAACCTATTTAGAAATTGTTTTATTGTAACTGCAACTATAGGTGTCTCATAATGAATACCCGTTGTCAAGGTCTTTGCATATCCCCATTAGCTCTGGGAAGCTTCCCAGTTTCTGCTGAAGTACAATATCCCCACTGCATGCTGCCACTTCCAGTTTGTTCTGATGACAATGGTGTATTCAGGGTGATGAGTACTGCATGTTTTCTTCGTAGCACATTTTAAAGAAATGCTCTCCAACCTCGGTTCCTAAGTTCTACTGTCCTGCAACTTTTAGATGCATCCCTGCTCCCAGACCTAAAAAGGGGCTAAATCATCTCAGCAGGTAATCAAGAAGTACAAAGCCCTGGCGATGAGCCATTTAATTTGGGTGTGTTGGAACAAAGGGGACTCTAAAGATTACAGTACAGTAGCCCTTGAAACCATAGCTCAGAGATGTAAGCCAACAATTTAATCTTTTAATCTAATGTGACCTGAGTAACATTTTATAATGAACTGTAAACAATTCATTTTTCTTGCCATTTTTTCCATGAGGGACATCTTTTTGGGTGGCATAAATAAAGTCATGCTATTGAACACTACAGCTGGTTCAAAGTTTCCATCATTGTCTCCCTGATATACACATAACCTTTCCTTGCTTGCAGTGGTGCTATATTCTTTTTATTTTGAGATGGTGGTATTAATAAAGCTATGTAAAATGTCTGAAGCTTGTCATACTGTTGTGCAGTCTGACCTTCAATGTTATTCTTGTCCTACCTGCTGTATTCTTTAGCTGTGGTCAAAATGTGACAAATATGGAGTGCACAAAAGGTGTGACCACAAAGCACTATTATAGGTAAGGATCGTAAACAAATGCATACATTATATATATCTATCCATCTGTCTATGT